CACACACACACACACACACACACACACACACACACACACACACACACACACACACTCTGCGTACAGTTAACACACATCAGCTCCTTTATTATGTTATTGGAAAGTGTGTTTTATTGTGTGATTGATTGCAAACAGAGCCTCCGGTGTTTAATACTATCCTGGAAAAAGAACCTGGTGTAAAATGTTTTATTATAAGCCCCCCTGTGCTTGTTATCTATTAATTTAGACCACAGCAGAAAGTGTAAATTAACCCCTTCAGCTTCAGGTCAGCTAAATTGCTAATGGTGGCGAAGAATAATTGTTTTGAATTAAGAGTTTAATAACTACTTTCTCTGGATTTGTAGACCTTTTGGGTGTTTTATTCGGTTTCATTTAGTCCGTTTCTTATGGATGTTGGATTTTTGTGGCGTATTTTGGAGTGCGATGATGGAGGTGTGCTCACAACAAACTGTATGAACAGAAAACTGCTCTCACTCAGTAATTTTTCTTTGGGGGGGGGGTTCCAGGCGTCAGCGACGTCCGGCTCGGGGCCAGTTCCTCTGGACTCCCAGGTTCACGCTGCAGCCGTCAACGGAGACAGGAGCGCACTCGTCAGACTCATCACAGGTCAGCATCAGGCCTGCCACTATCGACTATTACTGTCTGGATTATTCTCTCCACTCATTTTTCTAATATTTGATTTAAGAAACCTCTTGAGCCCAAGATTCTTAGCTTTTTTAAGATCTGTCAGTTGAACCTGGACATGTTTGTTATCAATTGAAAGCGAAGAATCTTGGCTAAAAGCTCATGGAAACTATTTTTACATTCACCAAACACAGTTAAAACATCAAGCAGTTTAATCAGAAAGTAAACAAACTGTACAAAATGGCGTCATTGCAAATCTGTAAATACATTCAAGCAAATCTGTAAAGGAAAAATATTTGATGTATTTTTAAAGCAAGTCAAAGTAGATACCAAAATATGTTATAAAGTGTGTTGAAAGTTTTTTTAGTTGATTTTGAGTGAATCTGATCCAACTGAAGTCAAACATAATTTCTCATTATTTTATATATGGAGACAAAATAAATGTTTGGATKATTTTTCAAAAGAACAAACATTCAATAACAAGTCTTTTAAGGCAGCTAAGGAAAAATAAATAACTCTTAGATGTCAAAACGTCAGATTTGTTAACATTTATTAATGGAACCATCATGGTCTGTCCTGTGCAGAATGACAAAACACTAAATTATTTCTTTACTAAAACCTCTGTAACTTTGCTCCAGTTCATTTTAGCAGCATGAATCTTTGCACAGGTGATGTCCACAAGTGGATTTATGGTTTCCAAGGTTTTTACCTGATTCATTATGGTTTTAAATAGGTTATATACTGTCTAATGCAAAAAATTATTCAGGTGAGAGGGAAAAAATATGTGCCATCCTCAATATCTCTAAAACCACAGCAGCTGTTTTAATACTTACACTTCTGATGAAATCTCCCAAGTGTTGCTTTATCCTGATACCAGGATTTTGTAAATGCTGAGATACACTCAGTTACATTTCAGCAAGGGATTTTGATCAAAAACTTCAAGAAAACCCCTTGGGGCTTAAGAGGTTAAGAATGTAAGTGATTCATTTTCCCTCTAAGATTATAATCTTCACAATCCACCACAAAAATATGAACAAAAACTTGAAACCTAGTTCTAACCACAGCATGGCGAATAAATAAAGCAAGCCTTGTATTATTAGTGTGTTTCAAAGTAAAACACCTGAATATGTAAACATGTTGTTCAGTGTTTGATAGATTATGGCTGTGTCCAAAACGACAGGCCGGGTCCTCCGGAGGACCCAGACTACCCGGTCGAGG